CACACACACTCACTTACCGTCACGTTGTCACCCTCTTTTATATACCAGCCTACCCTATATCTAGTAAATGCTAGAGCATTCGCCAAAGTACAGGATAGTTCTAGAAAGTAGAGGGCGTGATAATAGTCACGTGATCTCGATGACGCAACAATACTTTATTTTTCAGGAAACTATCGACTCCCCTTCTAAACTGTTGTAAAATGCTGGCCTCCACTATAGCCCACACAACTCATTGCATAAACTAAATCACTGTCTTATAAAAATAAACCTTTATTAACTGGAATCTACCTCGTCTTTTTCAAATCTCAAATTTGTGTCTTTTTCTCCTATTGTGTTCAGAATAGAACACAAAAAATCACAGACCTTTATTTCTATCGATTCTCCAAATAATCTTGTGAATTTCAATAAGATCACCTGTTATCCTTCATTTCTCAAGAGAAAATAAGATAAGAGATCTTAACCCCTCCTCATAAAATAACCCGTCCGTCCTAATGATCATCCTAGTAGCCCTTCTCTGAACCTTTTCTAATAAGTCAATATCATTTTTTAGATAAGAATAACAAAACTGTGGACAGTATTCAAGGTATGATCTAGATAATAATTTGAACGAAAAGGTGGTTGCCTCCTTTGAATTGTAATCAGTATAACTATAAATATATCATAGAATTATATTAAATATAAAGGAGTCAATGCCTTTGATTTTTCTTATTTACATTCATCACATGGATAGGGGCATAATTGGTAAACTTTTAAAATTATATTAATTCTTGGGTACTTTTAACGGTACTGGGGATGTTGAGGAATTACAGAATGACTTGGATTATCTAGTTCGTTTGGCAAATATTTGACAAATAACCTTTAATTACAGTAATGCATTTGTGTTAACATAATTTGGACTACATAGTAAATATAGATGGAAACATATTTAATAGCGTGACTAAAAAAGGATCTTGTCATATTGGTGCACAAGTCACTTAAACAACTGAGAGAGTGTTCTATACACAAGTTAACTCATTGTTCTAGCTAAAGTAGACTTTCTTTATTCAGAAGTTCTAACTCTGTGCGGACTAGCTAAAACTTTTAAAGTAGAGCTAATTTTGTGTTCCAGTAGTAGTAGTTTGACTGTGTGTGTGTGTGGATAGAAGAAGTGACTATTTCTCTAGGAAATCCTCATGTATTCATGTTTGTTATTTATGAAGTCCAATAAAACTGTACCTTTATTACCAGTGGAGTGCCTCGAGTTAAGCTTGTTTTAATCTTTCTCATTAGCTGTATAGACCCTTTACTAATTTAATTAGTGCGTGTTTATATTATATTCAATTCACGCACTGGTTTTTACAGTAACCTTTCTTTTGAAGTCTTTTAACATTGCCATTTCTCAGCGAAACAGTCTAAGGACTTACAACACTAAAATCTGAGGCTCAATTTTCCGCGGTTAACACAGCAAATAGCCTATTGTGGTTTTGCGCTAAAACGAACAAACTCAATGTGACATTAATTTTTTTAGATATATTTGGTTCCCATGGTAACGTTAACTTCTTATTAAATTTATTCTTCCAACAGAGGGACAAGTAATGTAAGCCTCGTATTGTCTCGTTCACGAAGGAGAAGGCCATTTTTACAAGTGTGGTCTAGGCCTAGTTAGGACTAAGTCCGGTAGTTTTCTAGGAAATGAGTAAGTCGATAGAAATTTTTATTATAAAAATTTACATTTTGAGAAAGTTTTATTACCCTATGAATATGATAAAAAAATTTCATAGAAGAATTTTTATGTATTTCCTTAATTAACCACTTTTGCAACTTTGTCTAACTCTGAATTAGGTTTATTCATCATTATTGTTGCCGGTTGTAGTTGTTATGTGTATAAATTGTAAAATGTCGAGTTCTATGCATGAGTAGTGTTATCTGGTCTTTTGAAAAATTAACATATTACGTTAGTATAATAATATTAATAGTACTTCTAGGGCCAAATGATATGTTAAGCAAGTTTAATTTTTAACTATACGCAAAATCCCATCCAATTTTCGATAATTGCAGAAGTTGTAAGTTATATTTTCGTGTTTAAATTTTAAGTTAAAATAATAATAAAAAGTTATACATTTTATTTTGACACAAAGTTAACTCTTAATATTAAGTTCGTGTTCTGAGAGTAAGGTTAAGAATGTTGTAATTATCTGAAAGCATTTTGAAGACATAAGCC